GCGAATGCAGTCATTCTAAAGCAAGGGGTAAAATGTAGTCAGCTGTTTCAATTGGAAAATTTTACAATTCAAACTGAGGAGGATTTAATTCAATTTAATGAAGAAATCACTGCCGTTGAAGTAGTTGTAAGTTAAATTATATATGTTTCTTACTTTCAATTTCAACTTATTAATATATTCACATGTAACAATTTTACTAATTCATATATTTCTTTTCATCTATTACGTTATTTATAGACTGCATCAATGAGACGCGTTATTAAAAAACAACCAATTACGCGAAAGATTTCGTGGAAATTTGGAGAATGGTACCCAAGGCAAGAAGTCCTTAAGAGCGTTAGAGAATGTGACAGCAGCACTTTTTGGTATGGTATATTGTACATAATTAACTTTAATTAACAATAACATACTTTTGTATTTACAGATGCTTTAAGTACAGATGGTAAGCCGGAACAAGTGATCGAGTCGAGTCTGGAAATCTCTTCAAGGTTTTAGTAACAGTATGTTATATTTTTTTATGTAAATATTAATATTTTAATTGTATAAAACATAAATATGAAATATAATTTATCCAAAAAAATTTATAGTATTTTATTTAAAAATCAATAGCATAGGTAAAATTTAAAAGGTAAGCGAACATGTCAGCGCTGATATGTTGCATTACAAATTCCAAAAAGTAAGCTAACATGTCAGCGCTGATATGTTGCATTACAAATTCGAAAAAGTAAGCGAACATGTCAGCGCTGATATGTTGCATTACAAATTCGAAAAGGTAAGCGAGCATGTCAGCGCTGAAATGTTGCATTACAAATTTGAAAAGGTAATCGAACATTTCAGCGCTTGCCCGCAATGACATGCACGTGTTAAAGTAATTAGGAGTTTCATTTGAATAATCAGCGCTAGGCATTACCATTCAGCGCTGAGGGAATCGATTCCCTCAGCGCTGAAAGTCCCGCTGGGTAATTAAAAATTCTCAATGTATATATATATATAAAATTTATAGTACATGAAATACATTTTTAAATAAGTATAAAAATTTGTAAAGTCTAAAACTTGTAAAGGATATTGTGTCCTAGATAACAAATATTATTTTAGTCAGGCCTTTGTGAAAAAACCAAAGCTTTTATTCATTTCTAGGTGAATTTAAAAAAAAAATGTATTAATCCTTTCCTGTTTTTTATTTGTTTTTTTTTATTTATTATGTAATTGCTTCAAATTTTATTTCACAAATTTATTAACTAATTTTGTTGGAAGCAAAAATTATTTTTCTTTGTTAATTAAGTAAGTAATCGATATAGTTGTTCTGAATGAATTTATTAAAATATCTTAAAATTTAAGTAATTATTACATAGTCTAACATAATGTCATAATAATAATAACATAATTGTTACATAGTCCATCAGCTTTCACAAAACTTTATAAGATCTTCTGTATATTAAAAAATTAAGACAATGGGAAGCAGGCAAATTAAGAAAAGAATTTTCTTTTTTGAGTTTTTTAAATACTTAATATAGTTATATGTATTTAAATATTTAATTTATTTATATGTACTATAAAATTTTTTTTTAACTATCATTCAAAAATTTTTAATTTAATATTTTTATATAAAAGCATGGCATAGAAAATATTCTATAATTGTTTCTTTGTGATATATACTAAAATATTGTTGCATTGTATTGATATTATATAGAACCCTGGTGATGACTATAGATTATAGTCGAAATATCGATTAAAATGAAATTTTATAAAAACAAAAAATTTTTTAAAAAGTTATAACTTAACTATTCCCAATTAGCACTTTAAAAAACAAAATTATTATTTATGTTAATATAAAATAAATTTGGAAAAATATTGTTAAAAACCAAATAATTAATAAATAATATACATATATTATTTAAGTATTTTGTGAATAATTTAAAAAAAATATTATTAATTGTTTTTACAACTAATTTATAATAAATTTTTTAATTATAACCGCACTTTGGTCGTTTATATAACACATAAAATAAAATGAAAAAAATATTATTTATATTATAGATATTTCGGTCTGCTTCTATATCTTTTGTATACAGTAAATAGAAATACCTTTTACTCTTTTATAATTCCAAAAATTGTATTTTGTTTTATGCAATCTACATAAAAAAATTTAAATTATTTCAATAACTGAAATAACAGCTACATTGTGTAGTTTGTAGATTAGATACGATATAAGTGGTCGTTTTATTCACTTAAGCTCACAAATAATGATCCGTTGTGATACTATGGTTGAGACCCTGTCCAGACCCGGAAAATAATTTTCAATAGAAAAGTCCCAAACATCTAATGTTTTTATTTTTTATTTCGTTGTTATGTTATGTTATTTCTATTTCAGCTGTTTGGGATATTTTAACACCAAAAGAGGATAGAAACTCCGTAGCAGTAATTTTCTTTTGCACCTGACCTCCCAACATCTGATATTTTGTGTTGCTAACTAAATTCACTCCGTCTTTTAAATGATGTTCAAATGTTTCCCAGGTATTTTAGGCATCGTAATATTAGAAAAGGATAGAAACTCTCGGTGCAAGAAATTCCCCATTTCCAGAAATCTACCACTTGAACACAAATTATCAATTGTTTTGGATCTCTTGTCAGTGGGATAGGAACTCCAGTCCAGTAATTCCCTCGGATAGTTACAAAGTATGTGAATAAAAGTTTCTTTCGCTCTAAGTAGATTCGACATTCTATTTCAAATCTTATATTAAGTGTAATAAGATGTTCATAGCCTAGCATTTGACATTTTTAATTTGAACTATAAGAGAACTTTAATATAGAACTAATTGCCATATGTCATACATAATATGTAGAAATAAAATAATTAGTAAATGCGGTGTTTATATATATTTTTTATACTTTCTTTTTTGTTATATGTATCATTATTTCATTTTACTTTAATTAAATATAATTTCATATTATTACCCTTTTATAATTTTAAGACATTTCTCTTTTATCAGAAAATTTCTGTGATAATATAAAAATTTATTTTATTGCTAGTCACATATGTAAGTAATTATTTTTGATAATAATACAAATTTTGGGGACATTTGTTATGGAATCATTTTGAATTTTAAACTGCCAAAAAGTTTTGCTATCATCATTAAAATTCTAGCAATGAACATCAACTTTTGCTTTGTCGAAACTAATTGCGCCACAATTGTACATTTAATTTGATAGTTTCTCTAATGCCCACGCATACATGACAACAGACCCCAAAACACCTCAGCCAACAACACATACAGAGGCAGGAACAGGACATAAAACAATAAAATGAAAAACGTTACACAAATGCTTAATTTACGTTATTTTGTATCTGTAGCTTGTCGTAGAACTAAAATTAAGTTATTTTGTATTTTGTGTAATAAAACGGAGAAGCAAAACAAAACTAAAAAAAAAAAAACAAAAAATGCTGACATGAATCCATACTCAACACTTTCATTTTCAAAACATAGAAACTACTAAAGCCAACAACAAAAAGACAACATAACAGAAACGGCCATACATGTTTCAGAATTTGTAGTTTACATTTTACAAATTCAGCAAATAAATAAGCGAATAGCTAACCGTATTTTCTCATCTACTCCCTATTCCCATTCTTATTCCTATTCCCATTCCTAATCGTACTCTAACTCCCACTACCACCGCACCATTAACGACAGAGACCAGAGACCATTATTACCATTACTAAAACAACTTCAGTAACATTACAAAATTTGGTTATGAAAATGTCTAACGAACTAACAAACGGTGAACGGAAGGAAGCACCGAGTGTACGCACATTGCTTTTGTGTTGCACGCTTTCAGGCGCTGTATGTAGTTTATTGTGTTGTCCACATATAATTCGTAGATGCTTTCGAGCAGTGCACAACGATTACCAAGCACATATGCAAATTGTGTGGACTTTGCAATTCACATACTCTCACACACATAGCGTTATGAACTTAAAATTCTTTCATCAGCTGAATTTTGTTTGAAATATTGGAGGATGAGGGTGGAGGAATGCACAGCTTTGCGTTCGTACTCAGAAGTTCAGAACTGATACGTTAGCACTGTTTCTGTCTGGTGGTGGACTTGTATGTCCTTACACAAATGATCACATACAAGTGTGGAGTTGAATGCAATAATACACAGACATATATGATATGAAATCAAATTTAGTCGTACAAATCGTCGTTATTTCCATTTCAGAGTTACCATACACTTGTAATTTGGATCATAATTTCATTTATATTGTTTTCGATTGACAAATCGAAGGAAACTTATTTACCTGAGATTTATATTTAGTACATTTTTATTTTTGAAAGATTAATCTCAGGCATCATATGAGATAAATTCATAATACTCTAAATAAAATTACCGTCTTTTATGTTATTTGACAATTGATCTGCATAACTGTATTAGATCTGCATAATTGTATACATGCTCTATTTTTTCGCATGGCTACTTATTTAGTTACTTGTTTAATTGGTCATAACAACCCGATCTCGGATTTTGGCCTGATGCAGCACTCTTCTTTAGGTGTCATTGTGGTTACTATAAGGTTACTATACCGGAGACATTTCTTTACATCTCTAATTGGTGGTTCATTTTACATTACCTGAGGTAAATTCTGTGCACCATCTAAGATAAAGGTCTTGGGGATAGGAATCGGTGCAATCTTTAGTAGCTTATTATCTAGCGGGTACCAGGTAATTATCTAAAGGTGCCATGTAAATGCTATGCTACAACTTGAATTGAAGACAACAAGGATTAAGCCGGCATTTTCTAAATAAAATGCGATTAGATATATTGCCTCATATACTCGCTCCCAAGAGCTCGTGGCCCCATGCCGCGGATAAAAGAAATGATCAAATT